AGGAAAAAATATTACCACAAAGCTGATCAATCAAGAATGTGTATGATATTTGGGAAAGAATAAAGAGAATGGAGAAAAAAAGTCAAGAACAAAGGCAGGAAAATATAGTCAGCAATTAATCAAAAGACCAAAGGAAACTTAGTCAGGAAACATGTGATCTTGATCAATGTTACCCAGCCAACTATGATTCTATGTATATAGAAATTAAATAAAGACTTCACAATTTTCCCAAAATTACCTCAAAGTGACCCTTAAACTGTTCTTTCTGACCCTCCAGCTACTGGTATTTCTTCCAGAGAGACCCCATGCTCTAGAGCCCTCTCTGCAAAAAGAGATGATCTCCTAATATGGTTCTGCAGCCCCTTAGACCTCCTTGTGTTTTCAGGTAAACCCAGCCCCACTGATACCCAATCCAAAACAATATAGAATAATTTCTACATCCTGTCACATGGATTATAGCACAAGATATAGATTCTGTCCTTTCTACCTGACCAACACCATACACACCTAAGAAACATCTGCAGCTCAGAAACTCCCTTTGTCCCCTGGAACTAAACATCAATGAATCACACCATTGCAGCTGGTGATAGCAGAAAGTTAGAAACATTTAAATCATGGATTGCTAATTCTACATCACTGTAGTTCTACCAGCTTTTAAACTACTTAAAACATTTATAAGACAAATTGAAAGTAGACTGCAATATACAGAACTTCTAGACACCAGATTATCAGTTTTCAAATTTGTCTTCTGACTGCATACCATAGGCATGACTCTGTGTGTACACTGGACAGTGAAATTACAAGCATAATATCCTACCATGCCAGGGCTGCAGAGTCTCCCTCTCCCCAGGAAATCCATACACAGGGAGGCTCAGAGGACAAGGAACACTCTCCAGGTCATTATATAGAGCAACAAAACCACAGTCTGGCACATGGTTCATCCAAATTCAAGCAGAAATGACAGATCAACAGACCTTCTCTGAAAACCCTACTCTCACGATGGCATAGCTTGTGGTCTTCCGTACAACTCATTACAACAAAGTAGAGAATGATCCTGGAAAGAACCTGCCACCTACCTTCCACTATTATTCCTGATTGCTAAAACTTTCCAGAGTCCCTCATTGGCTAAGGCTACCCTGTTGGGCCTCAGAATATTATCAGCTCCCCTAATGGGTGATCAGAGATCAAATGACTCAGACAGCACAGTAATTCCAGCTCTACCCTCCCAGCCCAGTAGATAGGGCCTTAGTCCAGAAAGTTTGTATTTCAGTATACATTCAGCCAATTTCCTCATCCAAAGCACAGGGTTCTTTGTTTGCACATTCCATTATACACTCAATGTGCAGTTCAGCAAACCTATTGCCCCATACCTGGGAAATCCTGCAGCCAAACACAAGTCACAATTACAATTGTCGTTAAAGAAAAATGGGCCAAGAATTAGAAGATAATAAGAGGTCATGGACTTGGGGACAGGAAAAAGAATGTGGATATGACATAGTTAAAATCTAAAAGAATTATTTTGAAAAGTTGAAACAGGCTATATGGCCATGTGCTTCAGAAACAATGGATTTATATTAGAGCACATCAAAAATTTCTCAAGCCTTTTATCTCAGGGTGTATATTTAAAACCATTAAAATAATAGTCCTGTTAGGCAGGGCCACATTTTACTCAGATCTATTTTGGTTGAACTACTGTAACTATAGCAATTTGGTTTCATGATAACTTCAATTCTTTATCCAGATTCTTTATCACCCAATCTGTGGAAATCAAAGAAAGGCCATCAGGACATTTATGGAGCACCTAAAATTGATCACCTGGTTCCGAATTGCTAATCTCAACTACTGTTGATATAGGAAAGTTCTCAGCCACTGTCCTTTCTCTCCCTTTCTGTACTGTGATTCTACCAGCTTCAAGCTTGACCTATGTACTCACCCTCTTCATCTATAATCATACACTGAAGTCATAGAGACTGGAGGTCACTCATCACCTGGTTTATTTTTCCTTCTCACTGACCGGTCAAGGCCCAGTCCTGAAGAAATTGAAGGACTATCTACCCAGCACTGGGCAGCAGAGACAGGAATAGGTTTTCAAAGCAATCCTCAACTACATAGTGTGAGGCAACAATATTACAAGTGCATAGTCTCCTCCACTCTCAACAAAGCTCAGAGGCCAAAGGCCACTACCCAGGTCACCACAAAGAAGAATAGAACCTGTCTGGCTCATGGTTCATCCCTGTCCAAGCATCTCTTGACAGCTCAGCCAACCTGCTCTTCCTGGTCTGGGGATATTCACTCCTACATTCACCATGGCATGGCTTGTGGTCCTCCTTATAGCTCCCAGGAGCAGAACATAGAATCCTGGAAAGAACCTGTAAACTACCTCTGGTACTTCTAATTGTCCCTCTAGGATCAACCCGATGGACTTCAGAACATTAGCAGTTACCCTACTGGGTGAGCAGAGATCAAATGTCTCAAAAAGCAAACATCCTCCAGGTTTGTCCTTCTACACTATAGTCATACAAGAATCTAATCTGGGAAATTTGTAGTTTAATGAAATCTTCCATTCTCTCAGAGTACTTCCTGTTCCTCCTCCAAGGCACTGGGTCCTGTGTGCGGTCTGTGGTCCCATGAAATGTCCAAACAGGACATTTATGGAACATCTAAAATTGATCACCTCACTACTCACAGGTAATGTGAACTACAGCCACAGGAGGAAAGATTTTACCCTCCTTTCTGCCCATCCTTTGTCTGTTGTGACTACACTGGCTTTACAGTAAGTCAGTGAACTCAATTCTTACGTGGGTCACACTTCACTTGTAAATGTACAATAAAATCTACTGAAATTGGAGGATGCTCATTCACTGTTCTATTTCTCCTTCACACAGACCAGTCAAGGTCCAGCCTGGTAGGAGTTGTAGGACTGTCTTTGCAGCACTAGGGGGCAGAGGCAGGATTAGGTGTTCACAGCAATGATCAGTAACATAGTATGATGCAAGCCTGAGCTACTGGAGACATTAATCTAACGCAGTTGTTCTCAATCTTCCCAGTGCTGTGACTCTTTAATAGAGTTACTCATGATGTAGCGATCTCCCCACCGATAAAATTATTTTTAATACTATTTCATAACTATACTTTTGCTACTGTTGTGAATGATAATATATATATATATATATATATATATATATATATATATATGTACTTTCTATTGGTCTTAGGCCAGTCCTGTGATAGGTTCATTTTATCTCCCAAAAGGAGTCATGCTCCACCAGGTTGAAAAATCACTGCTATAAACTGATATAAATAGATGAATAAACAAACAGCAGTAAAAAATAGAATAAAATTCAAAAACTGGGAAACATTGGAAAATAGAAACAAAGAGATTTTAGCAGTCATGTCATTGAAGAAAATGAAGTCTAAAAAATGATAATCAATAATTGACTTCTTAAAATGATAGAAATAATTGAACACTTACTTATACTGATTATGAAACAGAGTAAGCACTTCCCTGGTAGGGAGAATGCCATTAATAAGAGAATGCATGACTTTGTCCCATATAAAATGTTACCTGCTGAGTGCTGTATGCTGACACCTGGAGTTACAGCCAATGGCCTGTGTTGCAAACATCTGAGCTGACTTCACTCAGTCAACCAGGATTGAACATATCTGCATGGGAGAGTTCACTAATTGGAAACTAAATACTTAGGAGTTCAAGCTCTCCTCCCTAAACTGTACACCCACAAGTGTCTGTCTTCATTCACAAGGAAGGAATTGATGTATGATGGGAATTACACATTAAGGCACTCACTGTGCCCCATCAGGTCCTTCTTTGTAATGGACTCCCCTGCAGCCCATGGCCTTAAACTTCAACCTAAGATCTAGTTATTGTTGAGTGTGTTTACCCCCTCCAGCATACACAGTACATCATTCCTACTTTTCTGGTCTAGAGGGAGAAACTATGCTCCACACGCAAATCCTTTTATTGTTACTGCAATGGACAGTCCCACTGTATGACTCAAGCTGGTAATTTTAGAGCTCCATGGTGCAGCATACTTGTAATCTAAGAATGTATGATGGTTAGCCAGGAGGATAGTAATGGCAATGCCCTGTGGGGCTGCAGACAGGATTCAAGTCTACCTCAATCAGCACAGGGGACACTGAGTCACAACTGCTTTCCTAAGAGCTGAAAAATACAGCCGTTCTAGAATTGTTATACTCTCCTGGGACACAAGGTTGTGACCCTGTAATGGCCCTGAGTAGCAGGTCAGAGGCCTTTAATGGGGAAGTGGGTCTTCTGGCTGGTTTTAAATCATGCTAGTCTCATTTGTTATAGGAATGTACCTTAATGGCTAATTAATCCTGGTGAACAACATTTGCAACTCAGGATATTAATCTCTAACCGGCATGGTGTGCATGCTACTCATCTTTGGATATTTGGGTTGCAGCCCTCCCTCACTTAAATTCTACTTTGTGTTACTTAATGTCTCCTAAGAACCAGTAAATCCTTATACCATTAATTCTATTATCAACTATACTCGTCTACATCACAGTTTAGTGGTGGAGCGCTACTCTACACAGGAGAAACCATTTACAAGCCGTACAAAATTAACTACAGACAGATCCCAAACCTCAATGTTAAAAGTGCAGAACTTCTGAAGACCCAGGAGAGACCAGGAGTCTCCGCGTTTGGCAAATGTGGTGATCTCACTCCACATGTGAAAATATAAGCACGACAGACACCACCATCTGCGGCTCCCAACGCTCTGCTCTGTGCAGACACAGCCCGGGCAGTGAAAGGATTCAGAGGCTGCCAGCATAGACTGCAGGTTTAGGAATACTGAGGCAGGAAGACGCTAAACTCTGTGTCTGTCTGCTGACTCCCACCCAGCCACCACACCAGCTGGGAGCCTCAGCTGGCCGCTCCACCTAGTTTAAGTACAGCGGCCCCTTGCTCGCCAACCCTGGCCACTCCTCCCATCTGTGGAGAGCAACCCCTCACTCACCATGTTGCAGCTGCCCAACTGACAAGCCATCAGCCCACAAGAGAGTCTGAGCCGCAGTGCGGAGATCTCGAGCTGAACCGGAACGGAAGTCGTCTCCCGGAAGAGCCCTCCCATCTGACTGGCAGGTCTATTGGAGGCTCTGATTGGATGGTGAGGTCTGAGTGACGGTACCAGGTGAACAGAAGGGACTGAGCATGGAGATCCAGGGCTGGCTTGTAATCTAAAGACAGACCTGTCCCAGATTGGCTGGAAATTTATGCCAAATTCAACAGCAAGTCAATTGCTAATGTAAATCAGTGGGTTCTGTTCTAAAAGGGAGTATACAATTTCAGAGAATTTACTAAAATTAAACTAAATAACCTGGCATTTAAAAAAAAGAAATGAACTGGTTGTTGGAGGCACAAGGCTATAACCCCAAAACTCCACAAAAAAGGCTGGCAGGTCTCTGCGTGTTCAAGGCCAGACATCTAGGAAAACCCTGTCTCAGAGAAACCCTGTCTCGAGGGAAAAAAAAATCAAAAAAATTTTTGAGAAGCTGCTTTTGAGCTTCTGCTGGTGAGTATTTATTTGACATATATGGGTGGTGGAGCAGGGATTTCTAAAAGAAATGGTTTGTGGCCTAAAGAAGCTGCAGGATCTGAGAATGAATTCCAATGGCTGCCAGCAGAAGTGAACTGGGGTGTGGCTTCAGGTCTCTGGAGGAGGAGTGTAGCTAGCATTGACCTTGCCAATAGGCCCCAGTCAAATGTTAATGTCAAGACCTGAAATTCCTCAAGAGGGAATGACTGGAGATCCTTTCTTATCTAAATGCCTGACTTTGGGGAAAGGACTTGTGCGAAGCAGGAAGCACTTGAAATTAAGGTTTCTTATCTTCGTCTTGTCTTCCTAACCTGTTTCCCCTCAGAATGCTTCCTCCCTATGGGGAAGGTCTGGCGTCTTACCCTTTCTCCTGGATAACTTCCTACCTACCAATCTGATAGATTGTTCTGAACTGATTCCTAACCCTAAATGAACTCTTCCACTGTAAATAAATAAAGCAAATATGTGAACAGATGAATGAATGAACAGACAAACAAACCAATAAACAAACAAATAAAAAGTTCACAAATGCTTATTGACTTTTGTTATCATAATGAAAACTTTTGACATATGACCTACAATGTGTCTGGAGTATAACTTTATACTCAATCCCCCCTCCTGTCTCTCTGTCTCTCTGATTTCTCTCTCTCTCTCTCTCTCTCTCTCTCACACACACACACACACACACAAACACTTGAATAAATTTAAAATTAAACTAAATATACAATAAAAGGAAGCAAACACCTATACTATCATCATCCCATCTCTTAGAAGGCAGAGTGAACTCTGTGAACTCTGAAAGTCATGGAGAATAGCATGAGCTCCTGTTGCATTTTGTTAAGTTTTTCTCATAAGATTTTCATCTTTTATGATGTGAGAGTCTAGCTTTTTCTATTAGATAGAGGGACACATGTTCCTTCTAGTTCTTCTGGCTGTACAGCTTTGACAATGTAAGAAGGTTGGATTTCATCAAAGAAATTTTCTGCCTTTTTTATTTCACCTTTGATTGCTAGTAAGTGCCATCTAGTTGGTTCATGGTGTTTCATGAGCACTTTTCTAACTCTTTTGTTTTTTTGTGTCTTGTTTTGTTTTGTTTTTTGAGGCAGGGTTTCTCTATGTACCATCCCTGGAACTTTCTTGATAAATGAGGCAGGCCTAGAACTCACTGATATCCTCCCACCTCAGCATCCCAAGTGCTAGGATTACAAGTATTATGTCACCACTGCTTGACTTTTCCTAATTCTTTTTTGTTGTTGTTGTTGTTGGTGATATTTTGTTTTCTTGTTTTTCGAGACAGGGTTTCTCTGTAGCTTTGGAGCCTGTCCTGGAACTAGCTCTTTTTTTTTTTTTTTTTGGTTTTTCAAGACATGGTTTCTCTGCAGCTTTGGAGCCTGTTCTGGAAATAGCTCTTGTAGACCAGGTTGGACTCGAACTCACAAAGATCCACCTGTCTCTGCCCACCGAGTACTAGGATTAAAGGTGTGTGCCACCAGCACCAGGCAGAACTAGCTCTTATAGACAAGGCTAGCCTTAGACTCACAGAGATCTGCCTGCCTCAGCCTCCCACGTACTGGGAATATAGGCACCAGGCTAGATTTTTTCCTAATTCTTAAATGGGTTAACTGTCAAAGGCATTTCTTCCTACTTGGTTTGTGTTTGATTGCTTGCTGTTTTGAGTTTTTAGATCATCTGTTCCCTGGCCCTAGGCTCCACACCTGTCCCCTGAGGGCACCTGGTAGGAGAGAGACTCAGACTAGTAAGATTCAAGGTCACCACCCCTCCCTGCGTCTTGAACTCCTGCTTGAACCATTAAAGGGTGTGAGGCTACAACTTGACTGGTCTGCTTAGATATGCCTTTTCTTGTTTATTGATAAAGTGTTTATCTGCCTAACAGTCCTAGCTGTACTGGACCTAGTTCTTGTAGACCAGGCTGGCCTTGACCTCACAGGGATTCACCTGCCTCTGCCTCCCAAGTGTTGGGATTAAAGGCACAGGCCACCACCACATGACCTAGATAGACATGCATATTTGCTGCCTTCTTGCTGAAGTTGGAAAACTTTATCTTCCTGTTGAAGTTGAGAACTTGCTGAATTCAGTCATTTTTGGGTTTCTCAAAAAAAAAAAGAAAAGAAAATTAAAAAAAACCAAAAAAACCTTTAGTTGCCTTCTTTGTTTTATTTCACATTTTAACTTGATTTTTTTTTTGAAACAGGACCTGTATTTTTATTTGTGCTTCAGCCAAACTATTTCACTACACGGCCCAGGACTTCCTTCTGAACACTACTGCTGCAATTACAATTTAAAAAGGAAAAGTAAAATTAAAATAAATAATCTGGGATTAACAAAGAAAAAAGGGATAAAAGCAGCATTTTCTTTCTTTCTTTCTTTCTTGGTTTTCTCTCTTTATTATTTTTTGAGGCACAGTTTTGCTGTGTAACAGCCATAGCCATTCTGGAACTCTCTTTATAGACCAGGCTGTCTTCTTGGTAACATTCTGTTTTGTTTTGTTTTGTTTTTATTTATTTTCTATCTGTAAATCGAAATTTCTTCTCTTTCTCTCTTTTGTTTAATTTATGTGGTTTTTTTGGTTTTTTTTTTTTTTTTGGTTTTCTCTGTTCTGGGAACTAGCTCTTGTAGACGTGGCTGGCCTCAAGCTCCCAGAGGTTTGCTTGTGTCTGTAAGATATGGAGTCAGCCCCTCTAATGCTTTCATCTTGGTCTTATGGGCTCCATGCTCTCAGTACTGCATGACAAACTCCAGTGTGCAGGCTCCTGTCTGTCATGCCAGCAACACTCAGGAACTGGAAATACAAGGATCAAGAGATCATCTTCAGCAGCACAGAAAATGTGAACATCCTGGTGTGAAACAGACCCTCTAAAAGAAATCAATAAAATGACATTTTTACTTTTTATTTCTGAAGTAAAAACATTCAAAACTAATCATTAAGTCAATATTATTCCTGGAAATGATATCCAATTGGGAATTTCTAAAATTATTCCATAGCTGTTTTATTTTCTCTGACTCAGTACGTAGTTTGAGAAGGGGGGATGAGATTGTAAAAACAGAACAACAGAAAGGGAATCCCAAGCAAGCAAGTGGTGACCATGGTGAAATGTCTTTGAAAGGAGACTTAGATGGCAGGAAACTGACCTTGCTACCTTCCTCCCTCCCTCTCTCAGTCTGGATGAGAGTTTAGGACCACACAGGAGTTAGGTTGGAGTCAGGACCTCTGTAACCCTGGGTGTGAGTGAATCTGGGTCCTCTGAGGGAATACACAGGAACCAGAGATCTCAGTGGGGCCAGGCATGATCTGGGACCTTAGAGAGAGTAGGCCTGTGCCAAGTCCTCTGTGGGTTCAGGGATTGGTCTGGGACATGAAAGGAAATAGGCAGGATCCTGGAACCCCTGTGGATCCAAGGCCTCTGAGGAAGTAAGCAGGTCCTCTATGGGTTCGGGAAACCACCAAACCTGGGATCTCCAAGGCAGTAGACCAGAACCAGAAACCTTTCTAGGTCCAACTCCAACCCAGGGACTTCTGCAGGAGGGATCTAGACCAGGATTTATAGAAACAGATCAAAGCCAGCGGCCTAGGCCAAAATAGGCCTGAGGCAAGAAACTCTACCTTTGACAACAAATTCCATAGGAGAGGAACTGAAAGAGACTCTTAAGACAGAGAGATCCAGAAGAAACAAGCTCCACTGGGAGCAGAAGCCAGGAGCAAATCCAGCCCTGGGAGCCAATCCAGTCCTGGGACTGGTAGACCAGGATTGAGCCAATGACCTGACTCAGAGTCTGTGATCTCCACTGGAACTGGAGTGGGACTGAACCAGTTACCTAAGACACAGAGAGAACAAGCTCCACCAGGAGCAGAAGTCAGGAGAAAACCCAGTCCCAGGACATGGGCAGATCAGGACTGAGCCAGCAACCAGAACCAGAGTCAGTGATCGCCACCACAAGTCCAGCTCCAACCTAGGGACTTCTGCTGAAGGATTTACAGAAACAGATCAAAGCCAGAAGCCTACGCCAAAGTAGGCCTGAGACAGCAAACTTCAAGGGAGCAGACCAAAGTACAGGAGGACTGAGCTACCTCCTGGGACAAATATAACCAATGAGGTAACTAGAACTGGGACACTGACTGTACCATGAGGAAAACCATCTTAGCTTTGGATTCACTGGCACCTAGAAGATTAATCAACAGAATCTCAGACAGACAGCCCCAACCACACCTATTAGAGGAAAAGATGAGTAGTAAAGGTAAGATCACATGCTACACCACAAAGAGAAACACCTACTGGAAGACAGAGCACTCATATACATAAGTAAATAAGCCTCTAAAGAAAGACAAATAAATTAGACCTAAAATTGGGATATATACATCAGGCTAGTAGAGGTCTCATCAAGAAGAAATGAGCTGTACATATCATCTAGTCACAGAAGTGGCATGTCCAATGTCTTTCAGGTTACCCAAAATAAACTAGCCA